ATTCAGCGGACAGGTTCAAACATTTCTCTTGATTAATGTCTCTATTCAAATAAAAGTAGATAAATTTGAGGAGGGCTAGTACAAAGTTGACTAGAAGACCAACAAAATGTGAAGAAAACATTGAAAAAGAGATTTCTTTATTTTTATTCAAATGGAGGCTCCAAACTTTATGCATGGAAGAAAGTAGGAGGAGAGTATAAAATTCAAGTTATATAAATCAGGAAATTTGTGAATTTCATGATCATCTGACTAATATTCCTAAGAGCTGCGGGGGATCTTAGGCGGTGTAACTTGTTTCAACTCTCAATATAGCTGTGCATAACATGCAAAATGACAACCCCCTTCCAATTTAGAAGGAAAAAACAAAAACAGAAAAATTGGCATCCAGAATTAATTCCTTACTAATTTGACAAGACGTTAAAGAAGGTTGGCCATGGTACTGTCTCCTGCCTTTTTCGCAAGAGGATTACGATTCTACCTAGAGAAAACAAAATCGTGCACGTTTCTGAAAGAATCCTACAGCAATTTATAGCGTCCATCTCAGTAGCCAAGATTGGTTATAAAACACAGATTGTATGCAAGAATAAGAGAGCCATAAAAAAAAACACAGAAGGGCTGTTCTGCTTCAGCAGTTGACATGGAGAAAGCAGAGTTGATTTTCATCCCTTGGCCATTGATGGGCCATTTGGCTCAGCTGGTGGAGCTTGCCAAGCTGCTAATCAATCGAGACAAGAGGTTTTCCATCACAGTCCTAATCTCCAGGCTCCCTGCTTCCCTTGATCCTGTCACCAGCAAACTGATAGACTCTCTTGTTGCTTCCTCCACCACAGAAGCCCTTCAATTCTTTCATCTTCCTCCGACAAATCCCACCCCTGAATGGAGTTCCCTCAGCCGAGGGTATTTCATCCAGAAGCAACTGGATAGTCAGAAACCTCATGTCAAGAAATTCATCCAACAGCGCCAAACTGATGCATCAAGCAGTTCAAAACTTGTTGGAGTAGTTGTCGACATGTTTTCTACCAGCATTATTGATGTAGCTGATGAATTTGGGATTCCTAGCTATGTTTTCTTCACATCAGGTGCAGCATTTCTTGGCCTCATGCTCCATTTTCAAAGCCTTCAAGATGACCACAACCAGGATGTCTCCGAGTTCTCGGATTCAAAATCTGCCATGTCATTCCCAAGTTTTGCCAATCCTATTCCACCATCAGTCTTGCCTATCGTCTTAGTGGACAAACCTCTCTGGATGCATAGATTCCTACCATGTGCTCGCGGATACAGAAAGGCCAAGGGAATCCTGATCAACACATTCACTGAACTAGAACCATATGCAGTCGATTCTTTCAACCTATCGGAATCCTCTCCAGAAATCTACCCAGTAGGACCAATTCTGAACCGGGTACAATATGTATCCCGTGATGTACAATCAGGAATCATGGAATGGTTGGATGGCCAGCCTCCAGGCTCAGTAATTTACATCAGCTTTGGCAGCCTGGGAAGCCTACAGATCGACCAAGTGAAAGAACTAGCAAATGGGCTTGAACGCAGTGGATACAGATTCTTATGGTGCCTGCGTCGTCCCCCTCCTAAGAACACCATTGTTGATTTCCCAAGTGAGTATGAGAATTACAGAGATGTCTTGCCTGACGGATTTGTGGATCGAACAGCAAACGTTGGAAAAGTGGTCGGTTGGGTTCCACAGTTAGCTGTACTGTCACATGCTGCAGTGGGAGGATTTATATCACACTGTGGCTGGAATTCGACATTGGAGAGCATCTGGTGTGGGGTGCCCCTGGCAACTTGGCCTTTAGAGTCAGAACAACAGTTGAATGCATTTCAATTGGTGGTGGAACTGGAATTGTCTGTGGAAATCACACTGGATTATTCATCAATGGACAAAAATCAGGCTTTGGTTAGAGCTGAGCAGATAGAAGCAGGAATAAGGATGGTGATGGAGAGTGATAGTGATCTGAGGAAGAAAGTTAAAGAAATGAGTGGTAAGAGTAGGACAAGCATGAAACAAAGAGGTTCATCATATGAATCTCTTGGAAGCCTGATCAGTAAGATGTTGCATAATAGTTGATTAGTTGCTAGTTGAAATTGAGGTACGCTGTTTTAACATGTTCTTAGTATCATTAGCTATCTCAGTTGGAAATAACAAACTGAAATCTATCCTATGTAGCCTCTGCACCATCATCAATGTATCAGCATCTTTCCTACCGTTAAATTTATCAATTCATCTTGAGATCTAAGATTTTCGCATATTTTCTTTCAAACGATGGCACTAAAACTTAATGGATTTATATCTTAACATGTTTAGAAGCGATTGATAACAAAAAATAAAACATCTGAATTAATTAAGTGGCACTGAATTTTCTAAACAAAATTTATTTTCAAAAAAAGTGATAAACTATTTACTTACTATTTAATGTGATATATACTCAAATATATATCAGATTTAGTACTTAATAATTCAATAATTTAATGAATTTAGATTTCAGATTTCAGTTTTATCAAAACCACCTAAGCCTAGACTCTGGAGATTGGAAAATGAAAACACAGTAGTTTCAATTTATAATTCTTTCTGTCACAATGAATGTGCAGCAGCTTGAACATTGTTCATCTTGGACTTGACAATCTGAAGCCTAAATGAAACGGTGGAAAACTAATTGATTAACTAAACATGAAGAAGGTTCTGAATTTTTCATGAAAACTTGAATCCAGTGGACATTATTTCTGCAATGGCGTCCAGAATCTCAACATTTATCAGTTCCACAGTACCTTTCAGCTATCTATTTAGTTTACCAGCAATTTAGCACTGAAGATGATCATTCACATTATCACAAACATCTGTTTCTGATCAGTCTTCCCATATGACCGTAATTGTAACAACTAAAGTTAAAATGGAAGAAAACCCATTCGTATTTTACGTTTTCATTTTTGTCGGTTCATACAACTAAATAATATTATTTTTACGTTTTCATTAAATTGCATAAATTTATACTAAATATTATAAAAATTACATCAACCGAACAAAAATTGGATGGAACTCAACCGGAGAGGCCAAGTACAGAAGCCCTTCTCAAGAATTTTAAACTTGTGGAAGTTTCCCCTATGAAATACATTTACTATTTATATTTCAGCACCTTTGATATCTCTATCCTAGTTCATTTCATTTCTGAATTTGCCATCTAAACTCAATTTTGTTACAAGTTCACGAAAAGGAAACAAAAAATTTTGCTTGTTTAATAGTTATAGTTTGTTCTCAAGTGCGGATATTAAAGGCCGGAAACATCACAATGTTGAGGAAGTTAGGAACATCAATTGAATATATGCTTCCAATACTTCATTGACAATTATTTTGATGACAACGGCCATGTAACCGTTGCTCAGCCACCTCCATTTCTGAACTTTTTTTCAAGAAACAATAAGACCACGTTTCTCGGATCTTGTTCACAACAAAAAGAGCAAATTACCTGGGTAGTCATTGCACTTTCTGAATAGTTAAGATTTGACCACTCAATTATTAATAGTATGTTTTTACCTAATAAACTATCAAACGTGTAAATTTTGGATCATTCCGTCTAATTTCATCATTAACTCTACCAGATTTAAGGATCCACACGATTCACGAGACATACTATTAATAGTTAGATTTGGCAAAGTTAATGATAAAATCAGACGGAATGGGTTAAAATTTACATTTTTGGTAGTTCAATGGATAAAAATATACTATTAATAGTTGAGTGATAAAAAATCAACTATTCAAAAAGTTTAGTGATCATTCGGATACTTTGCTCCAACTCCAACAAAAATGTAGAAGATACTTGTACGACTGGCCTTTCCAATAGCTATCTCCTGTTGTCATTCGATCTTCGTTCAAATAATGGTACAGTGGCCTTATTTTCCGCTTAGATGTTTCATCACTTCTTTCATTCATAGTTAGAAAATCCTTCACAACTTATCCAAGCATCTAAAGGAATATTTAGGGTTTGAACTATTGAATTTGTGTCTATAAAGTATAACTTAAGTTTCTCCTTTGTCTGGGACAAGAGGTTATCACTTACTTTCAGTTTCTCCTTGCAAGCGTATATGATGACAAATCCTAGTAATCCACTGAAATGAAATAGAAGAGGCTTACTACAACGTTGTCTAGTTGAGACTGGTCAAACAAGCTACGGAAAAACATTAAAAAAGAAATTTAATTGAACAAGAAAGTCTTCCATTCTATGTGGTACAGCTTCTTTAGACAATCTTTTGAGCAGTACATTGAGGGCAAAAAGGAGAGTCATCTCCTTTAATACGATGACGTGTTGGAACTGTTTGGATCTCAGCCCGAATGACATCACTCACCCCAATAGTAAGACGTCACTCTACTCACTGCAAAATATCTATTGTATTGAGTAGATTGGATTGAGTACACGTGACAAATCGAATGATCCGAGCGTCTTATAATATTACAAAGATATCAAGATTTAGAGATTTCGACTTCTAATTTTCTTTATTCACTACCAATTTCTTAAATTTTGTTCCTGCTTGCTAGAAAATTTTTTCTATTTTTTTAAAATAAAATACGTACATAGAAAAATTGGTCATCACAATTGATTACTTGTCTGCTCTCTTTCGTACATTACTTCGACAAGAAAATAAAAGAAGGTAGGCCATGGCAGGATAGGATAATCCTGACCACATTTTTCAGGTTTCTGAAACAAGCCATATACAATTTATTGCAGAATCGTAAATGCCAATTAAATTAGAAAAGCTATTCTTCGAAAAGAACAAAAGAGCAAAAGAAATGCCAGAGGAGTACGACTACTACTATTGCTGTTAGTGGTTTAGCGTGGTGTGGGACTCCCTTGGCAATAATGCAAACTTTGCAGTCTTTACTTGGAATGTCAAAACAAATCAAGCAGCACAATTCTACTGCTAGAGAAAAGCTCATAAAATTTCTCAATTTATTCAATCGGTACAGAAGATTTTGTACCTAAAATAATATTAAGTGTTGCCATGTGAACCATTTAATATTCTAAAATTGCATGTTGGATCAATAGATTTGCCTCTCAACTATACCCAGGCCCCCAGGGCTAAGATTGGTTATAAAATATGTGGATTGTATGAAGAAACAGATCAGATCCAACCTTTTAAAACCTCAGAAAACCAAAAACAGAACAGCAGCTATTCTTGTTTCCATCAGCTGATATGGAGAAAGCAGAGTTGATTTTCATCCCTTGGCCACTGATGGGCCATTTGGCTCAACTGGTGGAGCTGGCAAAGCTGTTAATCAGCCGAGACGAGAGATTTTCCATCACAGTCCTAATCTCCAGGCTCCCTGATTCCCTTGATCCTGTCACCAATAAATTGATCAGCTCTTTAGTTGATTCCTGCACCACAGAAGCCCTTCAATTCTATCAGCTTCCTCCAACAAATCCCACCCCCGAATGGAGTTCCCTCACTCGAGGGTACTTCATTCAGAAGCAACTCGATAGCCAGAAACCTCATGTCAAGGACTTCATCCAACAGCGCAAAACTGATCAATCAAGCAGTTCAAGACTTATTGGAGTAGTTGTTGACATGTTCTCCACCAGCATGATCGATGTAGCTGATGAATTCGGGATTCCTAGCTATGTATTCTTCACATCTGGTGCAGCGTTTCTACGCATCATGCTCCATTTTCAGACCCTTGAAGATGACTACAACCAGGATGTTTCTGAGTTTTCAAAGTCAGAAACTGCTGTGTCTTTCCCGGGTTTTGCCAATCCAATTCCACCATCAGTCTTGCCTATGGCTCTAGTGGAGAAACAGCTCTGGTCGCGGCGATTCCTACCATGTGCTCGTGGATACAGAAAGGCCAAGGGAATCTTGATCAACACATTCACTGAACTAGAACCATATGCCCTTAATTCTCTTAATCTATTAGAATCCTCGCCACAAATCTACCCGGTAGGACCAATTCTGAACCAGGTACAATATGTATCTCGTGATGTACAATCAGGAATCCTTAAATGGTTGGATGAGCAGCCCCCAAAATCAGTAGTTTACATCAGCTTTGGCAGCCTGGGAAGCCTACCAATGGACCAAGTGAAAGAGCTAGCTAATGGGCTCGAACGCAGTGGTTACAGATTCTTATGGTGCCTGCGTCGTCCGCCGCCTAAGAATACCATTGTTGATTTCCCGAGTGAGTATGGGAATTATGAAGATGTCTTGCCTGAAGGATTTCTGGATCGAACGGCAAATGTTGGAAAAATTGTCGGTTGGGTTCCACAATTAGCTGTATTGTCACATGCTGCAGTGGGAGGATTTGTAACACACTGCGGCTGGAATTCGACACTAGAGAGCATTTGGTTTGGGGTGCCCCTTGCGACATGGCCTTTAGAGGGAGAACAACAGTTAAATGCATTTCAGTTGGTGATAGATTTAAAACAATCCGTGGGAATTACATTGGATTACTCATCAAGAAATCAAAATCAGCCTCTGGTTACAGCTGAAGAGATAGAAAGAGGAATAAGGAAGGTGATGGAGAGTGATAGTGAAGTAAGGAAGAATGTTAAAGAAATGAGTGATAAGAGTAGAGAAAGCATTAAACTCGGAGGTTCTTCACATGGTTCTCTTGGGAAACTGATTAGTACGATGTTGCATGATAGTTGTTAATAAGAACTCAGGTATGCTGTTTTCCATATGTTCTTAATATCATTAACCACCTCTGTTGCAAACAAATCTTTCTTATGTTGGTTGCCTCAGTACCATCATGAAACTGTTAAATTTCTAAATTCATCATGACAGATTTAAGATTTTGCTTTCCTTTTCTCCAGGAAAATGTGTAGTGGGGTTTTAGATGATTGGCACGAGTACGCTTAGCATAGACTCTGTAAATTGAAAAAAGAAATCCCAATGGTGACATTTTATAATGTAGTGAAAAATCGGCATAGAAGGTTCCCTAAAAACTTCAAAGAACAATGATCCTGCTGCATGGCTCAAAGGATTTAATGAAGAAACAGGAAAAAAGAAACCGTAATAGGGTGGAATAATTTTCAGTGAATTCTACAAATTGTGTTGATGCATCCAAGCCTCAATGAAAAAGCTCATCCATCAAATGAACTCTTACCACTTACTTTCCTTCTTCCCTTCATATTCAAAGTGTAAGGTATAAATTTGAACATTCATTACAATGAGTGTGTTTGGACAGCCAATTATTTGACCAAATATATTTGCTGATATCACCATTACAATTTCCAATACACCTTTTTATCTTCCCAATTACTTTTTTATCTCACATACATCACATCACACAAAGTGCTACAGTAAAAATATTTCAAATAACTTACAATCCAAACACATGCAATATTAACTAGAAAGTCCACATAGACATGAACTTCAAAAGCCACTCAAACATCTGCTAACTACAAAACAAGACACCAACCAACAAGCTAAAAACATTTGTGATGTCTTAGGTACACCCAAACATCTCAGAAGGCAAAAAAAAAAACTCATGCAAAAGATGCATTAATCCAAAGTCTAATGAGCACAAACTTCACTAAGAGTTTAAAGCGACATCAGAGAACAAAATGAACATATTAACCAAATTAATTAACATGTTCAACATTTTTTTTCACACAAAACATCAAACACCTAAAAGGCACACCAAAGAAAGCCAACTTGGAGCAGAACTATTTCTTTCACGAAACCTAGGCTGTTCACTTTGAACCCGGAATTAAACATAAAGCAAAAAAATACAACGAAATTACTTACTAATACTATATGATGTTCATCATTTTTTGTACAATATATATACAGTAGCGGTGGAGATGGGAGGAGGGAGGAAACTTGACGGCGGTGGTGGGTGGTTATGTATGGTGGATAGTGGTGGCCGGTGGACAAAGAAAAGATGGTAGGATTTTTTTTTTTTTTCCTTGATAAGAGTATTTGAGATGTGTGTCTTTTGGAATTTATTACCATAGATTTTATAAACAAAATCAATTTGTGAAAAATAGGCTAATCCAATTAGAGCCCATATTTTTTAATTACTTTTTTATTTTATATATATCAAAATCGTTACATAATACTCTTCTACAAATACTTCAAAAAATAACAATCCAAATCTTACCTAACGGAATGATGACTCTTCTGTAAAAGATCAAATGGTGAGAAGAACCTAAAATCCAATCTAAAATTGATCAAATGGTAATCCTTTTTTTTTTTTTGTGCAAAAGGATTTTTGTAGCCCTGATGCATGCAAGTACAATGAGCAGGTTGAAGAAATTCATAGATTGTCGAGAAGAAGACTGTTCTTTGGTTCTTATCTTTCGATCGGCAAAAAAGACAAATGCTTTAATTTTCTGTAATTAGCCAAAAACCCCCCATCCAATTGTCTTAGAAAAAGAATCCAACGGCTTAACTCATTGGGCTTACGCTATTCGTGGATCCAGAATACAATACAAATGGACTGATGATGTTACTAAAAGACCACCAACAGCTTATAACTATTCAAAGCTAGCCTTGAGGTTTGAAGGCTTAAATAATAATTAAATAAAGTTAATTATAGTTTGCCCCTGTAAATTTGGCCTTAATAACACTTTGCTCCCCAAACTTTAAATATATATATATATATATCTCTTACTCGCTTCATCGACTAGTTAAACGTTGATGATAAATTTTCTATCCAAAATTTGCATAATAGTTTTAGAATAATGCTATACTTTTAATCGAAATATGAAACATCTTACTTAAAAAACACAAAGTCACAAGATTTAAAAAATAAAAAATGGTATAATGCTAAAGAATTGAAAATTTGTATTGGGGAAAAAAAGAATTTAATAATTTCTAAAACATCTGTACAAGTTTTCCATCATTTATTTTTCTTCCTTTAAATTGTAAACAGATTGATTTTGATAATTTTCGTTTATCTTGCAGCTTTTGCAAGATTTTCACGAGTCAACAAGATGTTATTTCATATTTTTATACTACATTCATACATTGTTTTGTATTTTGTTTGAATACTACATTTTTAAAAAAGAAAAATCGAAGATTCTCTAAGTACATTTTCAATATATTTTTATTTTTAATTATATTTTTATTTCATGTAAGACACATTAAAAAGTGCTATAATAAGAAAATATAAGCAAATAGTTTTCATCTCGAATACATTGAGTTAAATATATTGAAATAATTTTATTTCATTTAAAATAAGTATTTCTACTGGCATTGAGATAAACACATTGAGTTGTTTAGACTACTTTTTTGTGGATTATCTAATTCATTGTAGTGCTAAAATATTGAAATGCATTGTGTAATTGTGTTTAAATGCATTTCGCTTGCATCATAAACACATTTCCCAACCCACCTTTTTATATTTTTAATTTTCTTTTTATCTCACATACATCACATCACAAAAAGTACTATAGTAATTATTCCAAATAATACTCTATCCAAACAAACCCTGATTTCATCTTAATCTTAAAAAACTAATAGGTAAAAAACTTGCTTAAAAACTTGGCTTCCAAACAGACCCAATATTTCAAATAATACTCTATCCAAATAAATCGTGATTTCATCTTAATCTCGTCAAAAAGTTGACTACGAATGGTAAAGTGTTATAAGTGTCCAAGTTCAGGGGGACAAAGTGTAATTAGCCCTCAAATAAATTTCGGCAAGTGGTTTTTTTTTTTTTTTTTAATAGCAAGTGGTTTTACTGGTTCCCATCACAAAGCAACGGTCAAAAGGCTGGATTAAGTGATGAAGCCTTCTCCTTCAAGTGAAGCTGCAAAGTGACCTGCAACTTTTGGTGGATATTTTAGTGATCTGTAGAAGAGAAAAGTTGCACCCCAAGACAATAATCAATGAACATATAAAATAGGTTTATCACAATTATCCATGGCAGCTCATTGCAATTATTCAAGCTTACTCTCCAAATTGATCTGCTTTCACTGAGGTTGTTTGCACCGTAGCCAGGTAAACTAACTTCTTTCTCAACATTATATTCTTGATTATATGTTTTATTGCTTTTGTTTTGTTTGTGAATAGAATTTCTTGATTATGAATTCAACATCAATTGTGCAAACTGTTACTTTTATTAATCAGTGAGAAAAGAAGACACAGATCTCTTTTCCTTGTTTTAATCACTTGCAAACATGCATATTCTTGAAGATTTAAAACAGACATGTTTATCCTTTTATACGTTTCCTATTAAAGTTCTCCTAGATCATCTGCTGCACAATTATCCCGTACCTGGCAACGTTTTGTCTACATACCAAAAAACTAAACTATAGCTATTCAAGGGAATCCTCAAATAATCTGAAGGACGTATAAAGACAGCGATGGCTTGCTGGAGTTACCTTTTTTCTTTTTGGGGTTCTTGATTGATTTTATACTCTTTACTATGTCTTGATTGATCTAGTACACATCCGTAATGTACGATGGTACTTTCTTTATCGGTTGGAGAGCAGGAAAGAACCAAAGCTTCCTTAGCATGAAGGATGACAACGACTTTACAGCCGCTTAACTGTGACTTCGGACACAAACAGCGGAAAGTGGCTTTCTTTTCTCCTTCCCCTTGATCAGCTTTCTAAATAAGTGATTTCCGGAGATTTAGGATGGCTCATGCTGCTGTTACTTGTCTCATCGAAACGATAGAGCGTCTAGCGTGCTTCACTTGTCTTGCTTTTGAAATTGATCATTTGCAATTCCAGCTTAATAAAAGCGTTGCAGGGACAACAGAACAGATCACGAACTATGCAGAAGGATTTCGTAGACGTTTACCGCAGACATTGGACTTGCATTTTGAACATTCTCGAGATTGTGCTTTGATGTATGCACATGATGGGCGAATAAAAAAGCTTATCAATAGATTCCAGAGAAAACTTGGAAGTCCTTTAGAATGGAATCAAATAGGTGACTATGTATCTTCAGAGTCTAAGCTACTTGTTTGTGATAGTATAACGTCTTGTTCTATAAGTAAGCCTGCATTTAGATCCATAAAACTGAAACAAGTGATATCTAGGGAATTCTTTGAAAGACCGCCTGGCAAAATAATATTTCTTGGCAAGTTTTTAAATGAATTCTTGCAGAACTGTCTAAAGGATGCTGCAACTGTCTGCAATGACCCAAAAAAGTTGGAATGTCTGGAAGGACGTATCGTGGATGTGGCTTATAGTACACAAGATGTGATTGAAGACTTCATGTTCAATACTTCTATTGAGTCAAAGGTAATGAACTATGTCATCTGTTTCTTGAACTCTGATCCCAGATCATTTGCGGAGAGGCTCAGTTTTAAGTCAGAGGTGCAGCATATTTTTGACAAGAAGTATGGCATACATCAATGTTTACAGCAGACACTTGTAAGCATTGATTCCATTGGGAGAGAACTTGGAAATATCTATGTTGATCCTCTCACAAGTGAAAATGAGCAACTAGGAGGTGCATCGGTGAATGATTCCTTTTCACCTAACCCAAATCAGAGAAATGAGGTGGTAGGCCTTGATGATGATTGTCAATCAATTTTTGATAGACTCATAACTGTACCATCTCGATTAGAAATAGTTGCAATTGTGGGGATGGGAGGCATCGGTAAAACAACTCTTGCAAGAAGAGTTTTTGATGACCTTTCTACTGTTTACAACTTTCATGTTCGTGCCTGGGCAACAGTTTCTCAAGTTTTTCGATTGAGAGATGTGCTGCTAGCGCTTCTGTGCTCTACTACTCATGTCACTGATGAAATATACAGGAAGACTAATGAGGAACTAGCTCAGGACCTGTATAGAAGTTTAAAGGGTAAGAGATATCTTATTGTAATGGATGATATATGGAATACCCTGGCTTGGG